CTGACAAAGGTAGATCTTTAGGTTAGTTTTTTCAATTGTAAACAATATTAATCTAAGTACAAATCGTATTTTGATTCTATCTTCCCTCTATTTTTATTTTTAAGATTTTGATCATAATTAAATGCTGACATAAAAGTTTCTTTTTGATATTGTTGCTTCTGTAATACTCTGTTTTAAGAGGTACAGAAAATATAAAAACAAATTCATTCAATACCTAAAAAAAAAAAGGATTTCCTTAAACTTCCTGATTAAAGTATATGTTATTTCCAATGATTTCTGCACTTACCTTTTAGCATTTTTGATAATTTTCTCAAATCTACTTTTTAGTTTTATTTTTCCAGTTGGAGACTTATTAAGAAAAACTTACTCCTAAAGAAGCATTCATTTCATTTTCCTCCTCATTTACCTGCTGCCTATTCTCTCTCGTTTCTCTTTTCCATGATAGGGTAACAGAGACTTAAGAAGGCATATTCATCATAGAACCAGGGAACTAAAAGCCCAGCACTCAACAGACCCTGGGAGGCCTGTGGGAACACAGCTCAGACCAGGCAGGCTCCCACCTAAACCATCCAGAACTGAACTACATAATGCCTTAGAGTCTTCCTAGAAAGCCCACTCCAAGGTTTAAACCACCTATCTACAAAAACAGTCTTCCTGGTAGCCGCTATAAATACATATTTTCCTTAGCTAATCCAAATCCTTTCTGGTGATACTTAAAAACTGTTTTTCAGGTCAGCACACACTTTTTGAGTATTCCCGTGGTAAAAGGCATAATAGAACATGTTTAAACGATATAAACTGGTCGCAGTGGTTTTCTAATGGAAAAGTTTATTCTTTAGATTTCAAATAATGAAATCTACTATATTTAAGGTGTCAAAATATATTAATGTTCAACTTACAAGTTGGTCCATGACTGAAAAATGTTGCCTTGTCTTCTTTCTAGACACAAGTTTGTTTGAATTCATAGAGGGAGGAAAAAAAATCATTCTGAAATTTTTATCCACAATATATTATAAACATTTCCAAAACATTAAAAGGAATTATTTTCCTTGTTCAGTAATCTTGAAGAAAGCTTACACAGATTTGATATTTTTCATTCCTGGGTTAATAATAATTTTTATATCACATAATCGGAAGATAATAGATAGTTTGAGCATCCTTGGTGTTTTGGTATTTTACTGAAATTGTTTTGAGATCCTTTAGGAAATTCATTCCATTTTGAGGAAATTTTGTATGATACAGTAAATAGAAAACAACTATATCTACAGAGCTTTCAATTCTCACCCTAATGCTTTGCATCATGTTAAATTATTAGAGTGAAGAGAGTCCAAGTTCTACTGACTGAAAACATGGCTCTGAGCTTTCCATTTATCCTGGTAGGATAATAGCTTTCACCCACTTGGTCATTCAGAGTTGACACTCTCACATTCCCCACACAGCCCCCTCCTTTTCTATAATGCCTTATCCTTTCCTAAGCTATAACTCTTTTAGGTTATAAAAGTAAACTGATATGAACTTGATGCTACCTATAAGTTTTATTAACACTAAGAAAATGTCATTAATTGCAAAAGTACAAGTAGGGAAGAGTTCAATACAGTCATGGATAACTTCAAAGATACAGAAAGAAAAATGAGGGCAAGTTTGACAAAGGAGAATATTCAGAGATAATTGCTGAATAACCCCTCTTTTTCCTTTTCTCTGTGTTTTTTTGTTTTTTTCACCTAATCTATTTTGGGCATACTTATTTTTCCACCTTTAAGGGGAGAAAAAAATAAACTATCTAAAGAGATTTGTGGCATTGGCTTTTAAAGGAAATAATTATAATTCATTAGTGTTACTGTAAACATGTGCACAGTTTAACAATATTTGAGTTACAAGTGAGAGAGTCTTTGAACTATCAGAATAGCCTTTTAAAAATGGGCTAATACTAAATGAAATAAATAGGCAAGTAACCATTTTGTTGGAAGAGTAGTACCAATATTATAATACCAAGAACAACAAGTAAACTGGATTGTAATCTTGGTCTTACTATTTTTTGTTGTTATTAAAATAGATTTTGTTCTCCTGCATCATACAGAAAATTCAATGGGTCAAGGATCATTTACTATCAATCGGCTCCCATGAATCTGACCTAGTACTGCTGATCCAAAGAATTTTCAGACCCTGGAGAGTTACATGCTAATTCTTCAAACAAGTATAAAACCTTAGTTCACATTTCTTAAATGGTAATATTAAAAAAAATCATAGATTATTCATGGGAATAATAGTAAGTCTTGATTATCAAAGTCCTCCAGGTATCCAGACATTACATTAAAAAAAAAATCATTTTAAGTCCAAAAATTAAACTTATTTCAGTAAAACAAATCTGAATTATTTTAAACATTTTTTAGAGAATAACTAACTATCAGGGAATTTTTTTTTTCCTTTTTAGTTCCAAGAGCTTAAATGAAACATTCATGCATTAAATTCAAAGTCTGACTGTCAAATCACTTCATTTTAATAAAAATTTGAATGACCTGCCTAAGGGCATTATTAAATATCAAATAAAAAGCACACATCCATAAGTCTGATTTCCCAATATAATTTTTATGTAGAACTATGACTAGATTTGTATTACATATTTCAAGATAAAGGATCAAAAATGTATTCACAAAAGAATGAAATCAGAATTGGAGTCACCTTAGAAAGAATTCCTACACCATTCTCAGTAATTTAGAGGAAAATTACCCCCTTTAAAGTAATCTCAGCCACCAAGAACACAAATCCATCTCCTTTTTTAAAATAGTGCCTAAATCGTAATTTAAAACTTGGAAAAATTACACATTATTTATCTATCATAAGAAATATGAAGTATCTGAAATATATTTAATACAAAACCTTATAAACAACATTTCAGTCATTGTGTGTGTGAGAAAGAGAGAGATGAAATAGTGATGGTTATTTTGATATTTAGAGAACAGCAACTCTGGTCTAGGAGCAGATATGGATCAACCATTCAAGGCAATGATCTTCCTTCATTAAAAGTGTCATTTATAGTGGCATTCATGGAGAGTATACTAACTAGCCCAGTCTGGACAATGCACAACTTCATGCTCTCCCACCCTCCCCATAGTCATACCACCCCTCTTCTCCGAGGAGCCCATCCTTCCCCTTGGCCTGCTCCCATCCCAGCTTTCCTGAGGCTCCGCCCCTGCTAGCTCCTACTCCATTCTTCATTAAATGATAAAAGCAAATGGTGGACACAGTGCGTAACCACCACCTCCTTCTTCCTTCCTGTTACAGCACAGAGAGTGTTCATCTTCTTAACAAAAGTCAGTCACTCTGTGTGCTCAGGATTTCATCCCTTTAACTTTTTGAAGAGGTCACTGCTCTAGCCCCTCCCAGAAACAGCACCTTATGTCATCTCTCTCCATTTACTGCTCCTCCCCTGCCCCCAGCGTATAGACAAGTTCTAGTATTTCTTTTGTTTAAAGAAAAAGGAGAGGTCTCCTTGAATCCCATGTCCTCTCTGTTGCTGGGGCCTCCTGTCCACTCCCCAGCCTTGCTCATCCAGAGTGGCCGTGACAGCCCTGCCCTTCCTGTTCACGTTGGGCCGCTGTAACACACATGCCTCACTCCTGGGCCACTCCATGCCACCCAACCGCAGTGTGGGGAGCCTCTTTGACCTCTGTCCGTGTAGTGCTTACGAAAAAGGGCTCTGACAGTCGAGCCACCTGGATCTGACTTCTAGCTCCACTGCTTAATAATTGTGTTAGTTTGGGCTGTGACCTAACTTCTCTGTATCTTGGCTAACTTATTTGTACGGCCTCACAAGAGATTTTATGAACACTTAGTGAGGTAATCCCATTAGATCCATTAGAACATCACATGTATACTACACATATAATCAGTATGCCAAACACTCGTATATTTCAACCCAGACCTCTTTTCTGATTTCCACTCTGGAAATTCCAATGGTCTTCACCACCAGGGGCCCAGGGCTGTGGCTGACAGGCATCTCTTGCTCACTCAACTTTTCATCTTTCCATCCCAAACAGGGCCTCCCTGCAGCTTTCCCACGGCCACTCAGTGGCACTCCAGTCACAGTTTCTAAAGCCCAAACCCATGGAAGTTACCTTTGACACTTCCATCTCCCTCCACCCTCACCCAGTTCGTCACTAGATCCCACCTACAATTTCTATTTCGTACCCATTAACTTCCGCCTCCACTGCTTCTATTCTAGCGTACAAGCCTCCATGCCTATCACCTTGGCTACCCAGCAGGCTTCTAAAATCTCTCTCTACTCCTGCCCTGGCCCACTGTAATCCAATCCATTCATTCTCCAGCTGGGGTGAGCTATTAAAAATATACATGGGATCAGGTCACTCCCCTGAGTGCCAGTCTTTATAGGTTTACAATGCTTACCAACAAAATAAGGATGCCTTAACGTTACTGTCAAGGCCCTCTATGATCTGGGCCCTGCCTGCCTCTCCCCTGCAATTTCTATACCCCAAATTCACCAGACCTTCTTTCGGGTACCTCAACGCACCAAAGTCTTCCCTCCTCCACAGGGAGTAGCCCCTTAGGGCTTTGCAAAAGATATTCCATCTACCTGAAATCTCCTCCCCAGCATTGCTTCATTCTTCTCATTCATGAATTCATTACAACTTGTAATTACATATTTTTGGTTTTTTTCCCATTGTCATGTTAACAGAAAAAAACCCAAACTCTGTAAAATAATTTAAAGAGGTTTATTCTGAACTGAATGTGTGTGACCAGCCTGGAGCACATGGCCTCAATAGATCATGAGAAAATGTGCCCACGGTAGCCTGGTTACAGTTTGGTTTTATACATTCATGCAGACAGGAATTACACGTAAGCCCCTAAGTCAATATGTGGAGGGCGCACATTGGTTTGGTCTGAAAAGGCGAGACATCTCAAAGTGGGGTGGGGGCTTATAGGTTATAGGGGGGGTTAAAGCTTCTTTGATTTGTAATTGGTTACATAAATGAAGCTTTGTCTAAAGGCTTGGAATGTTTTAACTTAAGATAAGGATGTCTGTTACTCAGAGACAAGCCACCCCACTGGACATTTACTGGAACTCAAGGGATCTGTTGAACAAACTGATGGCCTGCAGGTGTGGCTTAAGCTTTGTCTTGTATAGCCTTTAGCCTATTAATGAGTTACAAACATTTCCAAGAAGGGAGGGGGCATGACAAAGCCTAAATTTTGTCAAAATGAATTGTACATGTTTTATTGCTAAAGTGTCAGGATCATGATGAGAGTAACTTTGGGATGCTACATTTATGTAACTGTGTACCTCGTTTTCCTTACTTAATCTGCACATACCCTGATGAAGATGGACTTGTTTCTGTTCTCTTTGGCTACTGAAATGCAGCTCTAATGACTCTGTCACTAAGTGGCTGAGTGGGTCGAAAGTTGTCTCCCAAAATTCCATCACAGCCTTCCACAAGTTCTGCCCCCTTAACATGTGTCCTCAGCCTTCGAAATTCTTCTATCTGAAAATAAAAGAACAACAAAATAGATTAATCAATGATCAGACATTAACAAGATTGGAGTTTTATAAATGGCTTAAAATATGTATAAATTACAACCATTAGAAAGGAGAAAGTTAAAATTAAACTTCAAAAACAGAAAAACAGACTTAATTTTTCTAGACCTAAGACATCAGACAAGACCCTTTCAAGAGATGACAAGAGAAGTAGAGACACCAACGTCTCCAGACAACTCAAAGAGCCACAAAAACCTGCTGGATTTGTTAATGTGAGAATAATACACACCTCTCACAAAAAGGTTTTATGCCTGTCTATAACATATTAAGGAAGAGTGAACAAATGAATTAAGTTCTCGTAAATGCTTCCCAAGCATATTCTTAATTAATGGATTCTGATGCTCCTGTATGTTAATAGAGATTAGACATCAGATGGATTAGAGATTTCCTTCATCAAAAGACTTTCTTTGCCATTTATTTATCACTTTGACAAACACGGGTCCAAAGAATACTCATGATTTTCCAAAGTTTAAGCCCAACTTCCTCTCTTAGTAAGACTGATTTTCAAGTTCATCTCCCTTTCCTGGGCGGCCTCTCCAGGTCCCATGGCTTGCCTGTTACATGTGAAGAGGTTCCCAGAGTCCCAAGGGACCTTCCCCATCGGCCACATAGCAGTTTATCTGACTTGCGTGGTCTGAGCTCCCTGAGAACCCACACCTGCCAGATGTGACTCTCTGGGAAGTATTTACACAACAAGCAAACACGTGATGAGCATCCCCAGGCTCATTCACATCTATTAGTTGATTTGCCTACAGGACTCATTGTCCGTTATTTCATTTAAGTGCCACATAGTCACAGGACACAGACATTCTTTGTTCCTTACACAGAAGGGGAAACTAAGGCTTCAGAGGCTTAAAAAGTTTCCAAATAAGCTAGTGATAGAAATATGACAACTCCCGATCCCCTTGCTCATTTCCCAGCTTGATAGCCACCTCTTTAAGAATGGTAGTCAAATCTACACGCTGCATATATCCCAGGGTATTGAGCAAATGTGACTTGAGCAGCATTCATCCACCAAAAAGTCACCATCTGTGTATCTACAAGGTCTTCAAAATGACACAGCCAAAGAATTCGGCAATTTGTGAAGAGAAATGAAATGCAAGAGATCAACTAATTCAGGTGTTCTAACGAAAGTCTAGGAACACCTAGAGACTCTAGGGGGACCACGAAACCCCTGAATAATATGCAAAATTTTACAAGTGCATTTCCCTAAGGAAAGGCTCCCTGACTCCAAGAGTTGAGTCCCACAAGATTCTAATTCAATCTACTCATACACAGAGTTGGGGAAAAATTAAATGGTTTGTTAGAATAGAACCCAGGTTAGAAAGCTGACTTCTAATGTTTCATTTTTCCATGTTACCAATGGAGACATGGAACTACCTGGAATTGTCCTGTTTTGACTTTATAATACCTACACACTGTATTTATACAGAGATGCCAGTCAGATAAGCAATTAGCTGTTTAATCTACATGACGGTTTTTTCTCCAGACCTTCTTCAGGTCTTAAGTGTGGGAACATGGGTAGCATCTATTGCTTGCTGCATCTGGAAAATTTCTAGATCCAAGGCTGCCTGAGAATCCCTTATTATTTGCTTTCACCTTAAAGTTGTTCCTAAGTACAGAGTGGAAAGGAACCTAGTCAGTGAGATAATCCAGTACTTTTCCAAAAGGAAGAATATGATCGTGCAGGCAGCGGGGCTCTGTGTCCAAAGGCCGGTTCCTATCCTGGCTCTACTACCTGAGACCCAAATGACCAATCACTTCGCCTCTGTAAGCCTCGGATTCCACATATGCACAACAGAGATGATAGTAACAGTATTCACAAGGATGGTCTAAGAAGTAAGATAAGAAAATTGATAAAAATCACTCAGCACAGTTCTAAGCACACAGGAAGTATCTGATAAATACCAGCATTTCTTTTGCATGCCTTCTTTTGAAGTTAAATCTTTAGTATTTTGAGATAAATATTTAGCTACAATTTTATATGCATAAAGTAGATAATAAACCAATTCACTGAAAAAATTTAAAGCCATCTCTCCTAGCATTCGCTTTACACGTGATCATATATAATACCTGCAACAAGAAACTTAAGAACTGTGGACAGGGTCACTAATGAGTAATGTGGCCTAGGAACTTTACAGCCTAAACATATTTTAAGAAATATGCCATCTTTTATTGACTTTGAAGCTTATTTTAAAGCTGGGTTAATTTTATATTTATGTATTCTGAACTGAAGATAAACCTTTCAAGCCCCAGGCCTTAGCCTGAAGCACATTCTGCGAAAACAACTTCTTCCAGAAGAGATAATCTGAATCAACAGCCAGTCAGTCTCAAATCACAGTACTCTCAGAGAAAACTATTTCATGAGAAATCTTTTTCTCTAACACAGCAACACTTTGAGGACTTCAAACATCAACAGAGATGGAGGGGGAAACGTGTCTTTGAAATGCCAATTTTTTTGAAGTAACTACCCCTCGCAACCCTTTAGTCACTTCAAAGGGTTTCAAATGCGTACTGAATCAGCCCACACTGAACAGAGAGATTGTGATAAATGAACAGAGTAATATTTCAGGATAAAAATCTTCAACGAAATTCAAATGTCAGGGCATTACGGAGACCATCATTATCACATATATCTTGAATATATGATTGCATCGATTTTTCATGCTACCATGATATTTATTTTTAAACAATTTAAGAGAGAATGAGGCAGGGGGCACAGAGATCCCACACCCTTCAGGGAGAAGTCCCTATCTTCTGAAGGTATTAGCCTGAACAGCCGCTGTTCTCTGAACCACAGATGCATTCCAATTGGTCTAAGACATTTATTCCAAACTTCACTGACCCACAAACCAGATTATTCGCCAGAAGTTCAGTTTAAAACTAGTTTTAAAGCTGATTCCTTTATGAGTGCATTCAAAAGGCTAATTTCTAGAGTTTGTGGCTTGGTGCTACTTAACTTTCAGGAGTTCCCAAGTTCCTTTGCCCATCCTCCAAGTAGACTTACTTTGACTTTCATTTTGTGTGTCATGTCAAAATAGAAATATACATATTTTGTGACACATAAAAGTCAGTATGCTCGAGCCATTCATTCGTCTATGGACATTTACATGGTTTCCATGTCCTGGCTGCAATGAACATGGGAGTGCAGAAATTTCTTCAAGATACTGACTTCAATTCCTTTGGATCTACACCCAGAAGTGGAAATAAGCCAGGCACGGAAAGACAAATATCGTATGATCTCACTTATATGTGAAATCTAAAATAGTCAAATTCATAGAATTAGAGAGTAGAATGGTAGCTGCCAGGCGCTGGCTAGAGGCAGAAACGGGGACGTGAAGGTTGAAGGGTACCAAGTTCCAGTTATACAAGATAAATTAGTTCTGGAGATGTACTATACGGCACAGTGCCCATGGCTAACAACACTCTATTGTACGCTTAAAATTGCTAAGACGGTATGTCTTATGTCAAGTGTTCTTACAAAACAATTATAATAATAATAACAAAGGATATGGGAGGAAATTTTGAGAGGTGATAGATATGTTTATGGCCTTGATAAAATGGTTTTTTAAAACAGCGTTCTCATTTTCTTTTATTATCAATAATAATACATGAGTCAGAGAAATATAATTCATTACATACTAATTAAATAAAAAAATCAAAAGCAAACTGTGCTTAAGCAGTCCATAAATGTGCAAATCATGAGACAGATACAAATATAGATATAGAGAGAGGCCTCTCCACCTTGCACATACTGCAGCCTGGTGTTTGTTTCATTTTCTTCCACCCCACTGTCCAACTTTCCCTCTAAAATCATTGCTCCCTCTTCTTTACTGACCTCTCATTCATAAACCAGCTCCCACTCTGTCACTGACTCCTCATTCTTATCTTTTCAATTTTTTTGAGGGAGACTAGGAAAGAGAACATCTGCCCCGCAGTAACACTGACATCAACGTTCCTCTGATTCCAGCCGCAGCCTGAAGGAGCCTGGGCCTCGGTCACTGTCTGCCTTTGTCACCTCAAGACAGTTACTGAGGAGCCACACAGACTGAAACTCACTGGAGAATTACAGATTACAGAGCTCACGGCCACAGGGAAGTGTGCCTAAACCACACATTTTAAGAAAGGGAAGAAGAAGTCCCCCAGGAGAGAAGATCTTCCATTTGCACTGTCTGGACTGTAGCCACCAGGCCCATTTTGGTCTGCGGGCATTTGAAAGGTGGCCAGTCCAAACTGAGGTGTGCATAAAACCACTGCAAGCCAAAGACTCAATATGAAAATAAGAATGCAAGAAATCTTACATTCCATCTATTACTTTCGACTTTTTTACTATGACTACTAGAAAGTTTAATCTTCCTCATGTGGCTCACATCATGCTTCTACTGGACAGGGCTGGCCTAGAGCTGCCCTTCAAACTCATCTCAGCATTCTGGTGATAGAGCACTGATTTAATTACACCTACAGTTGGATGCAGGTAGACATGAAAAAAGTGATTCTCAAAGGGTGCTCCCTGGAATAAAAATGCAAGTTGTCAGCAACTACCCCAGACCCACTGACTCAGCGACTCCGGGGCGGGGCCCAGCGACCTGTGTTTCAACGAGCCCTCCAGGGAAGTCTGATGCACACTCAAGTCTGAGCATCATGATGTCTTAGTCCATTTGTGCTTCCATAACAGAATATCTGAGACAGGGTAATTTATAAAGAACAGAAATTTATTTTCTCACAGTTCTGGAGACTGGGAAGTTCAAGATCAAGATCGAGCACACGTCGGGCCCTGACTCGGGCTGCCGCGACTATGAGAGTCACACTTTTCAACCCATGGGAAACACAGAATAAGGAAGGAATAAAGGTTAAACCTAACTGATTTTCAATAAATTGAAATTTGCTGTGATTATAAAGAAAAATTTTATTTTTCACTAAGAGATTTTATAGTTTTAGAAAATTACCCCTCGACAAACAAAGTAATGCTGAACTAATGTGACTACAGTCAGCTCTTCTACTTTATTTTCAGTCTAGAACCTCTCCTTGTGGCTAAATCCAATTGACACTTTTCAGTCCGTAACTGAATGCGTGTGCAGAACCTGATACTCATGATCTCTCTGCTCCCTCCTTGAAACTCGCCTCTCCCTTAGCTTCTGGACATTACATGAGCCTCCTTTTCATATCTCAAGCCATTCCCTGGGGACTCCTCTTGCCACACACACCCCTGGCTAGCTGCCCCTCCCCAGTTCTCCGGATCACTTCTTTTCTCTCCCTCAAGGATCTCCTCATCTACACTTTTGGCTTCACCCACCACCTAGACGCTAGACCCCTTTCTGGGATGTCTTAAAGGCATCTCAGTCTCAATATTTACAACCATAAAGTCATAATCTCCATAAACCTGCTCTTCCTCCTTGACTTCCTATCCTGGTAAAGGGCAACACCTTACGTCTGCCAGTCACCCAAGTCAAATAAAGGGGTGTCCAGTAACACAGGGGTCTTTCCTTCCCAAAATCCCTGCTGTGTCACCAGCCACCAAGTGCTGATTCTACTTCCTTATCATTTCTAAAATCATTCCCTTCCCTTTATGCCATCGCCATGGCCTTAATTCGAATCCACATCTTCATACTGCAGCAACAGAGATGGTTCTTGAATTCAAACTTGGTCACATCTCTCTCCTCCTTACAACATTCCAATGATTCTTTGCCACCTTTAGGAAAAAACCCAACATCCACAGCCCAGCACTGGGAATCGCTGATGAAGGTTGGGAACTTCCTCCCTACACCAACCTCATTTCACGCCACAGGCCCTTGACACTAACCACATGCATTCCCCAGTGCACTCTGCTTTCTCTTACCTCCTTGCAAGACACAAGCATGCAGGTGTTTTTCCCTTGTTGGCAATACCTGCTAACACCCATGCAACACTCCTTCACCTGGCATAGGGAAGGTCTTCCAGATAACTAAATCTCATCAAAGTGCCTTTCCTACATGCTACCATAAGACCATGTTCATTCCATACTATGGCACCGGACACATGAGATTACTGGTTTTTTAATGTAAACCTATTTATTTGGCCTTTTCCTCTGGACGGTGAATTCCCTGAGGACAAGGCCTTGTCTTATTGGTCTTCCATTGTCAGTGCCAATTACAGTGCCTGGCACATAGCAAATGTCAACTAATTTCCAAATAAATGAATAAATACATGAATGAATGAATAACCTCCACATCTGTCTCAAAGGAATAATTTCACATGCTAATATTTGCCTATGACAAGGATAAAGAAAATGAAGATAGGACTATGACATATGTTACCCTACTAAATCAGTAAATCACTTGTATTAACAGGGTCAGTGACATGTAAAAGCCAATGAGTGCATCCCGGTATCACAAAACATACTGCATATTAAACCTCGGGGCTTTCAAACGGGCACTTAAGATTCTGGGCTATCTGCAGCAGCAACAAGGAAATGTCCTAGAGTCAAACTGTAGGAAAAGTAAATGCAGAGGGATATTTGATCTTTTACGTTGTCATTCACAGAACAACGGCAACTGTATTACCCACGACCCTGGCTCAGGACAGCCCGGGGTGCAGTGTCTTAGTGTGACCTGGATGGAGCAGCTGGCAGCACGCGTGGCCTTCACGTGTCTGCAGGATAATCCCAGAACTCATTCCCTGCTTCAGAAATACAGTGTCGGCAGGAGAAGTGACCTGGAGTATGCAGATGGCAAATGTAAAGTGGGGTCCCGTGGGGTCCTACCAGTTTAGAATAGTCTTCTTGTAAAGGAAGGTCACCCCCAGGAAGGTGTCCCAGGGGACTGCCTCTCCCCATCTTCTCCATTCTACTGTTCTCTGACCATATGCTTTTCCTGGGCATTTCATTTGTTTTGTCATTTCGCTCCTTCTTTGACACTAACTATCCCTAAATCTGTACATCAGGCCTGAGCCTCTGAAGCTCTTGCTTTGTGTTTCCAACAGTGTGAAATAAACAAAACTCCTCCAAAAGGGGACACGAAACTCATGAAAATACAGAAATCTTCTCTGATACTGTTTAGGTCTTCCTGACGAGGTCTCATGTTGAGAGAGGGTCTCATGTTGAGAGAGGGTCTCAAAGGAACTACAGTGATGAAAGGGCAGGAGCTGAAAGGGGACAAAGTCAAGCACCCAGCACTGAAGTCACACAGGGCTGACTGGACCCAAAAACCTACCCCCACTCCCTGAGTGATCGAGGCAAAGGCTCCTTAATCTCCCTAAGCCTCAGTCACCTCACCTAAAAACTGGGAATGATAATGGCAGTTGCTATATCATGGGATTGACTGCTCTTTTCACTGCTTTTTTTTACAATATGCCTACAAAGCTTCTAGTGATATCTAAATCTTAATTTTAAAAAAATTTAAAAAAAAACACTTTTCTATTCCCTAACTTGTCCCTAAATCTCTCCTTGCCTTTCCCATAAAACCTCTAGAAAGACAGTCTGTGGTCTGTATTCAGCTTGGTCCCCTCGACTTTCCGCTCCTCATCCTACAGAAATTCCTCCCTTCAGTTAACAATGGCCTAACTGGCAATTAGAGTTCTTGTCGGAACATCTTGTTTGCAAAGAGGAGGCAAATTTGAAAAAAAATGAAGGCTTCCCCCACGGTAAGAGCCTCAAGGCAAACTGGCTGGGTGGGCTGCAGGATTTACCTGGAGGAACCAGGAACAGCACAATGGAAGAGGTGGAGGAGGAACGGAATTGGAGAAGGAAAGCCACAGGTCAGCAACACAGGAACACTAATGCCAGAATCAAGCTGTGAATATGCCAGGCCAAGGAAAACGTGAAGTACCAAAAGGATCAAGTCAAAATCCAGACTTTAAGCCAGATGAAAGCCAACAGTTCAGAGTGAAGGAACCCTGGGCATCTGGGCCTATTTTTATAAGGTGTAGTTATTTGATGTGTGGGTGGGCCACACTCATCCTACTTAAATTCTCCATTGGACTTGTCCCTATGAACCTCTCTTCCTCCACATCTTGGAAACACTCCTGGATCTAGGACATCACTCCCTCCTAGTTCTCTGCAAGCATCTTGGTCTTTCTGAGTTTCCAGGTGGGAGCCAGTTCCCCCACCTGCACTGTGGCACCTACACTCAGCTGGGGCTATCTTGTCTTCCTCCTCTACTTGAGCTATGGTGGCAGTGACTGCTAGCTCACCTAATCATCCAATTCATTCTTCTTCTTCTTGGGCATGAAGTTTGAATGACTTCCCACCTTCCCTTTCAGTTAGGTACGGTCATGTGACCAGTAATAGCTAATAGTACATGTAAGTGAGCTCACTATTTCTAGGACTGACCCTTAAAAAAAAAATCCCCCTTGAGATCCTTCACCTTCCTCCTCACTACATGTCCCCACCCAGGGCGACCTTGCAAAGGCAGTGAAGATGGAAGAGTTTCTTTCAACCTGGTTGTCTGAATGACTGCACAGAGAAAAGCCTTCACTGTGAATCAGAAATGTTAGATTTTATGTGAGTATGAAATAAATTTCTACTATGTTAAGTCACTGAATTTTTTAGGTTTATTTGTTACAGCGGCTACCATATTTTTTATACAAAAAATACAAAGGCCCAAACACCATGTGATCAAAGTTTATAAAATAATGAAAGATGTGGAAAGGAGAGGCTGAATGGGGAACTTTTAAAGTTAATCCCTAGATAAACAGAAATAAAGAGAAACTTGTATTTTGAAAGAAGGATTTTTACAGATTTAAATATAAACAAAAGAAAGCTTTACTGAGAAGTTAGTAAACTTGAGCTTTTTAACTTCAAGAAATAATGGAGTATATTAAAAAATTTGTAAAAAGTTACTAAAGAAAACTTGGTTTGAGGTTGATCATGAAGGGACAATATAGCTTTCCAGAACATAACCCTTCCACAGATCCCTGAAGGACAGGAGACATTTAAAGCATCTCTTTGTAATAATATCAAAATCATTGTTTAAGTATACTGTAGTGATGGCGCCTCCTGTTTCACTAGCTAACATCCCAGGGACAAGTCTCTCACATCCTCCCAACACTGTGCGATGGCATTTAGCGCACCCTTGCAAAGCCCAAGGCTAGGGGTAGGTGATTAAGTGGAGCTAGAGAACAATCCAGAACTTTCCAGGGCATTCCTTCTATCTCCTTCACCCCTGCACATACAGAATTTTCCTGCACTTGCCAAGGAAAAACTATTAGAAAGCCGATGTGTGACTTACAGGAACAACCAGCATGCCCACTTTACTTCCAGACCTTTCTCTTCAGACCTGGGAAGATCCACATAAAGGAATGGCTAGACTAATCAAAAGTTTGGCTCTTTCAGGGACTTCTATTTACTCTCTAAAAACTAACTTTTAAAAATACAGATCATAAATGAGTACTGGGTTTTGTTCATCCTTGACCTTTCACAATTTCTTTCACTGGCTCAAGACATTTAACTTCCATCTGAAAAGGCACAACTGATCTAAAAGGAGCTAAAACATAAAATAGACATTTTCCTTTCACAGAAACAGTATTTAACCTTTAATTCAGAACTTCACAAGTAGCGCACTCACCTGTAGCTGGGATATAGTTAAGGGGTATCGGAATAATATCCAGGTAACACCTTCACTGCAAGGTGGGATCGTAAGAGAGCCTTCGTACACCCAGTAATCCCGCAGCAGAGGATCTGTGCAACCATGTGGACAAGTCACAAAAAGGCAAGTTAATTTACAGTAATCCTGAAGACTGCAACAACAATTTTCAAAATTACAAACTGTCCAAATGACACCTCTCAGATGGATGTCATTTTTAAACTAGAGCCTCATACATGTATTCTTAAACTAATCATCGTGGAGAAAATAATCAATGAAAAACACGAATCTTTACTATTATTTACAGTTATTTCTATCAATGGATTACGAGATATATATGTCAAGTTTAATCACTTTAAAATAAGTATATCCATGTTTTTGGTTTTTGTCACTTTATTAGAGGATTTACCTGACTGAATGATACCTAATATTCACTGAATACTTACTACATGCCAGGCTCTCTTCTACCTAAGCGTTTTACATTAATTCATTAACCTTCACAACAAACCAATGAGGTAAGTACAATTATTAGTCCCATAGTTTAGATGGAGAAACTGAATCACAGAAGGTTAGTCATTTGCTAAAGTCACTCAGCTAACAACTGACAGAGCCAGGATTTGAACCTATGTAGTCTGGCTTCTAAGCCTGTATTTTTAACCATTCAGTTCTAGCTACCTCTATATTGTTTCTTCAACAGCAAAATATTAAAATCATATTATGATGAAATAAATCACTTATGAAATCATTTAGCTCTGTATTAAAGGAATTTATAATTAAGTATGATGAGTAAATGTTTAACATGTGATAGAAATTGCCTTGTTGTAGAGCAATTAAATGTAGCAAGTAGAGGATACAATGCATCAACTTTCTTGGTTTTGTGTGAAACACTAAGAAACAGCACATAACTTAGGCAGATAACAAAATTTTATATAAGCCAACCTTTAACTCCAAATAATTTTCTGAGTATTGTATGCATAATTATTACCTACACATAAACACAATTTAGAGAAATATCTAAATAATAATATTCCTGCAAACAGGTAACCTAATAAAATTAGACATAAAGTTTGTTACACTCCAGAGATTAATAAGAACTTCACTGATCAATCTTAAAAGTATATCAAGGTTATTTTATTATGCTGGTGCTTTACACAGAGGTAGCGATTTTTACAAATAATCCTAAGAAAGCGCTTTATGGATCAGTAGAACTAGTGGCAAAGTGTCTCCATTATTTCGAAAGGTTTACTTCTATATTTAGAATAATGTGGAAATAATATCTGCTGTAGAGAATATAAATTGTAAAGAAATTTTATTAGCTAATAATATGTAGTTATGCATATTTTGAGGACAACAATGTGGTCACAGCCACAGGTAAAATTCATTTTATGTAATCAGATAAATACTTACCTGGTAATAAAGTGTTAGGATTAAAGCAGGGTATTGTTTTGGACTTCCCCTGAAAAAGAAAAAATATTTACCCCATGTCATTGTGAAAATTTTAAGTTTTAGAATAAGAAATATATTAGAACTAAAACTCTAGAATGAAGTCTTTTCTGAATGGCTTCACCGGGTCCCACAGATTTGTGGGCGTTTCCTTCTGTCTCTCACTGGAGCAACATTGGCTGGTTCCAACAAGACACTCCTGCTCTCATTCTATGGCTATTTTCTTTGCCACCACAGTTCAATTTTCCCTATAAATCCTGGCATGGAACTTACAGCTGGTGTCCATCTGCCCCATATCAGCGACTTTCCCTGCTCCTAGTACAACATACCAGAGACTTGGGCTGAATGCCTTGATGTAAAACGCCTGAACCCTGGCTGGGGGAACTCTTTCAAGATGACTTTCCTCAGGCTTGCTTTCATCTCAGCTCCTAACCGTGTTGGCATTACAGCCTGGCCCCCAATGTCTCATCTGTCCCATTTGGATTTGGTACTTCAGCTCTAGGATGGATTCTAGATGCTCTCTGCATCCAGAAAGGGAAATCCAAAACTCAGATGAAAATATTCTATTCTCATCAACTTTTATCAAAGCTAGATTTAAATTTTAAGGGAAATATCTGTCCCCTTATTCAACAATTCGCACTGCGATCTTTATTTTACATCATGTCATTCAAATTGCTTAAGCCTTAGAAGCAGGCAGACCTGTCAGGTCAATCGGATTTCTCTTGATTACTCTATTGACACAGATGCAACAGGGAAACTTACTGTGTAACCGCTAAGTCTCTTCCTTACTTCCTGGGACTGTTTTATACATTAAAGAATCCAGATTACTCACCTCCCCCCATCCTCCTGTATTCCACAGTGATGGATGTCCTATCAGCCGAAGAATGAAGAGAAATTTTCTCGGCTCACTTCTATTGAGCAAATGTCAATCAAAACGTGTCCCCACCCCCGTTTTACCAGCTTCATTGCCAGGCTGGGCTTCCCTTGCAAGCTGGCTTCACTCAGAGCCTGCTCAGGAGATCTTCACTGGAGGCACTGCCTGGTTCAAGATGCCCCGGGCCATGCGAGTATAGATAGAGCTAACTGGACTTAATTCCCAGAGTGATCACTCTTAGAACTGGCCTTGGGTCTCTGGATCCCTTTCAACCAAGCAAGTTCAACTCCTGCTCTGCATCTGCTGCAGCCACATGGGACTGAACTACTCCCCTCCCCAATGCCACTCAGATTCAGCCGACTCAGTGCGAGCCTAGAAGGTACTGTCTGTAACAGAACTTGGCTTCCTTTCAATGCTGGGCTGTATTGCTGCAGGGTCATACTGATCTAAGTCATCCTCTCTGGAATATTATCTTATGGCATATGTGTACTTGTCTTCCTTTTTTAAAAAATTTATTTCACAAAAATACTTTGAAGTATGGTTCCCCAAATTTTTATTTCATTTACACAACTTTTTATAATGAGTGGACAGGAAAGGGTTAACTCAGCAGGCCTGGGTTCCCCAAACCCTGCACACCCTATATAAAGGCCTGTCTTCAGGACTGACTCTTGGCTGGCTCCTGGGATGTAACCTCTGAGGTTGGAATATTCTACCTGGTAAGAGTGTTTCCATATGCCTGAGGCCTTGGGCCATGCTGTACTTACTGAGAACTCCTGTTGTTGTACCCCTGAGGCCTTGACACATTCTGTACCAGTATGACCAGATAAGTTTATCCTGACAGTGTGATTTATGGTGAAGGCCTGGTTGTGCCGGTGCTGTGGAGGGTGTTGCTGCTAGAGTTTGAGCAGCTAAGGTCATTTATGATGCAGGCATTTTGTGCTTGCATGACTAACCTCTAATATTAATAAAAACCCTGGACACCAAGGCTAGGGTGAGCTTCTCTGGTTGGCAACACTTCCCACATGTAGTCATACATCGCTGCTAGGAGAATCAGGGGCATGCCCATGTGACTCCACTCTGAGGCACTCCTGAAGGCTACTGCCTGGTGTCCCCTGGGCTCCACTCCACGTGCCCTTTCCTTCTGCTGATTTTCAGTCCATATCTTCCCACCGTAATAAACCATACCATAAGGACAGCAGCTTTTCTGAGTCCTGTGAGTCCTTCTAGGAAAAACTGGAGCCCACAGGTGGTCATGGGGACCATTTATACAAGCAGTATTTTTATTTTATTTTAAATAATGATTTACCTTATACTGAATATCCTGCAGTATTTCAGTCACAGCCTTCAGGCCAA